CGTGATTTTTTTTTTTTTTGAGAAGTTTTTGCTATAGGGCGCGTGCACTCACCAGACAGAGAGAGAGACACAGAGAGACAGAAAGTGAGAAATCACCCCCCGGGGGGATGGCCACGCCGCAGTCCCTTCTCCTCTGTTCTCCTCTCGGGATCTTGGGCACGCATGCACACGCGCCCGGCGTGAGTTTTAAGCCACCGGGTCTGGGACGCGAACCGCGGTTGACTACGTGGGCGGTCCAGCGACATAGCCATTACGCTAACTGCTGGTCCCTCTGACCGTGATTTTTAAAAAATATATTTACCAACTTTATAGGGCAGTTTTTATTGAATACGTGTGTGCTAGGTGCTATGTTACACCAGAAATAGCTTTCGAGTTTTCATTTGCGGGACTCCTTTCTGAGAATTAAAAATAAGGATTTTACTGGCCTCATCAAAAAGCAAGTCTTTATGGTTTTTTTTATATGTTTAGATGAGTTGGAACAGCATGGCGATTTGTACTTGCACCTGCCTCTCTGCTTCTCAATCTTCCTTTCATCTCTCTCTCCATCTGAGACTCCCTCTCAGCCCATTCTCTGTCTCTGTTCTGTTTGGGTTTGTGTACTTATCATTTAAGTTTTTAATTTTTTTTGGTAAGATCTGTTAGAGTCCAAAAATAATTTTATATTTTGTACCTGCATCCATTTTCTTCCCCCCCAGTGATGTTTATGAAACTTGTTTTTCCTTGATTAGATTTGCTAGACATTTGTCTGTGTGGTTGATCTTGACAGATAACCAACTTAGTTTCTTTCCTTTATTTTGTATAAAAATATTAAAAGACTTGTTTTCTTATATGTAGAAAACTTGTTTTTATCATTACATTTTGCTCTACATTAATGTTGTTTTTCTCTTTGAATCTTGTTTTTTCTTCCTCTTTCTGATCTCCCGAGTTCATTTATTTTCATTCTTACAAAGTTTAATGATGACAGCTATGAATTTATACTAAATATATCACAAATCTGCCTCACTTTGTAAGTACTAGGTTATGTATACAATCTTCTCAGTTTTGAGATTTTCACTGTATATGCTGGAAAGTCCATTAAAAGTTTCCTATTAGTACTGTGTTTTTGTCAGTTTTGTCTTGTTTCTAACAACTTTTGCTTTAAATATTTTGATAGTGTTACCTCATGTTTTAAGAGAGCAATAATGTTTTATCTTTGCTTTGTATCATAAGTCCTTTATTATCACAAAATTATTCTTATTCATGTAGTATCTTTCACTTTAATTCTTCTTTATCTAATATTAATACTGTAATTCTTGCTTTTCTGTTTTCAAAAGCATTCTTTTTTTTTCCAACTATCGCAGAAAAATGGTTATCATTTAACATTTCCTGTTTGAAACATGGGTTTACTACATTTTTATTGTCATTTCCCCATCTCAAATGTTAGTAGTTTAACATGGCATTTAAATTTCAGATTGTTTTGTTTAAAAAATTTTCCCTTTAAAGTATGACCTTAAAGTCAATTTGACAGTATTTACTACAGGTATTTAAACACTCTTTTGTAGCCAGTGGTTACACCAGAATTTTTATTCCATGACTTCTTTAGTCTTTTATTCACACTATAGCATCATTTCTTACTTGAAGTATTTTTATAATTAATTTTGTTCAACAAGCAAAAAAAAAACGTTCTACTAAAAAGGTGTATTCTTTTTTTTTTCTTTGGAGAGGTTTTCGCTATAGGGTGCGTGTGCTCGCCAAACAGAGACAGACAGAGAGACAGAAAGCGAGAAGTCACTCCCCAGGGGTGGCCATGCCGCAATCCCTTCTCCTCCATTCTCCTCTCTGGATCTTGGGCACACATGCACACGTGCCCGGCGTGAGTTTTAAGTCACCGGGGTCCGGGACACGAACCACAGTCGACTACATGGGAGTCCAGCGACATAGCCATTACGCTAACTGGTCCCAAAGGTGTATTCTTTCAGCTGCCTTTCAATTTAGATATAAGGGTAGAACTTTTTGCCTTAAAAATTACAGATGATGTCCTACTGCCTTCTAGCAATGACTGAATTAAATGGGTATGATTTGGTTTTTATTCCCTCATATGTAAAGTAACATAAAGGTAACATTGCCCAATTACTTACAGGGATTCTTAAAGATTCTGTGAAAACATGGCCATTTACGAGATTAATGAAATTCATTTTCATTAACTGTTGTCTAAACTATACTGAATATTCCTCCAAACTGTACAGAGAAGATTTTCTTCAACATAGAAGGTTTTTTTTAAGTTTTGCTATAGGGTATGTGTACTTGACAAAAAGATGGAGGTGGGTGTGATCAGAAATCACCCCTCAAAGTAGATGTCCACACCACAATTCCTTCTCTTTCATTCTCCTCTTATGGTTTTAGGCATGCAAACAAGCCTGGCATGATTTTTAAGCCATTGGGTCTGAGACTCGAACCATGCAGTAAGCCATGTAGGACCCAGATGCCTTAACCTCCGTGTCACCTACTAGCCCAACACAGAAATTTTTTCTAGTATACTTTCAATTGTTTATGTCTTAACTCCAACTACACTGCAAGTGTTTTTAAAGAATTATTTTATAGGGGCTGGCAAGTGGCGTGGTGGTTAAGGGCACTGAATTGCCACATGGCCGACACAGTTCAAGTCCCAGACCTGGCTTGCTTTCTCACTCCCCCACCTCTCTCACTTTCATTCTGCTCATCTCTGCTCAAATTAAAATAAATAAGGGAAGAAAGAAAGAAAGATAGATAGATAAATAGATAGATGAAACAGTTCTAAAAATAAAAAAAAAAAATCATTTTATTATTTAAATTTTTTTTTTAATTTGACCAGAGAGAGAGAGAGCAAGAGCAAGCAAGCAAGTCGCCAGGTCCTGGACTTGAACTGTGGTAACCCATGTGGGAGTCCTTGCCTTAACCACCATGCCAGCCTCTCCTACACTGCAAGTTTTTAAAAATATTCTATCAGATCTTTTTCTTTTTTCTTTTTTTTTTTTTTTTAAGAGATTTTTACTATAGGGAACGTGCACTCGCTGGAGAGATAGAGACAGAAAGTGAGAAATCACTTCCTGGGAGGATGACCACACTGCAATCCCTTCTCCTCCATTTTCCTCTCAGGATTTTGGGCACATATGCACACATGCCCAGAGTGTTTTACGCCACTGGGTCTGGGACTCAAACTGCAGTTGACTACATGGAAGTCCAGCGATGTAACCATTACGCTATCTGTTGAACCTCTGATCTTTATTTTTAAAAAATGTATGTAAAGAAATTGTTCCGTCCTTGCAACAATAACCAGAGTTTAACAACCTAAATCCCAGAAGTAAAATGCAAAGATAACTCATTAACACTAGGAAAAGACATGAAGGGTTTTGTTTTTTTTAGTAGCTCTATAATTTTTTTAGAGAATTATTTATTTAATTCCATTTGTTGTTGTTGTTATTATTATTATTATTTTTTAAATTTGACCAGAGAAAGAGAAAAAGTGAAAGCGAGAAAGCAAGGCGCCAGGTCTGGACTGAATCACATTTGGCCACGTAGGAATCCAGCACCTTTAACCACCACATCACCTGCCTGCCCTTGCAGTTCTATAATTCTTAACAGAATAAAAAGAAGTCAGGGTATCAGTGATGTTAGCTGTACATAGGGACAGAATATATAGTAGGCTTGAATATAAAAAAGAAATAGTTCAGCAACTTATGGGAATTTCACAAAAATGATATCAGCACAATGATTCCATTCACATGGGTTAGGGTATGTGTAAAATACGCAAGTTACTAACCGCACCACTCTTAGCTAGGTAGTTAAGCATGAGTCTAACAATAAGTAGCTAGCATTCTTCTAAATTATCCAAATAGTTTAAGTATTTTAAGCCAACTTAGGATATTCTATTAAATATATCAAAAAATGCCTGAATATAGATTATCTGAAACAAACCTGTATAACTCTCATCATCATCTGACAAAGGCACCTCTCTTTTCAGCAGCAACTCCAACTCCTCCGTTTCTGCTACATCCACTGGACGCTCTCCATGTTTATTAGCTTGAAATGGATTTCCACCATGACGAAGTAACAGCTTCACTATCTGCAAATTAAATAGCAGGAAAATTTAGTCCTTCCATGGATCGTATTATTTCAACCATTCTCTCGGTTAACACTAACAGCATTCTAAGAGCTACCTCATCTACTCTGCATCTATTGCTCAGTGTATATTCTAAAATTACTATCTTCTTCAAGTTCCATTTTCATTGATATTCCCCATCTGATGATCTTATCTACTATAAAAAAATTTCCTCCTTGAAATTTAAACTGAGCTATTTCTCTCATTTTTCTTGTTTCATCATAAAGTCAACAAATTTTTATGATGTGCCCCTTATTAAGTAATCCAAGTTCTGCTGATAAATCAATAAACAAGAAAAAATAAGTTCTCTGGCCTCTTGAAATTTATATTCTAAAGGATTCTTAAAGTTATTTCCCTTCTGTTTAATGCTAATATCTTCATTTTACTCTCTTCCCCATCTCCCAGGAATTTAACTATTATTAACTCTTGTGAATTTACTCAGAACTAATGAAGCTTAAATTTCAAGGTCTATCATTTCATGAGTCCTTTCTAAGTGCATATATCTAATTTTGTACTTAGTACTTGAAGATTTTTTTCAAAGAGACCCTCTCCTTCACTACCAAATTATATAATTACATATACACTTACATTGAGTTGTTGGAAAAGTCATGATGTATTTTTTCTAGGCAAAAATGTATCATGACTTTTTCAACAACCCAATATATGTTTCAGGGTCCACAAAATGAGGGTCTGCCCAGTTAGTCATCATTTCATTTCTCTCTCTCTCTCTTTTTTTAATTATCCTCTATCCTTTCTATATTTTTAACCTCTTTTTGATTGGCTTTCTGAAAGCTAACCTTTCCAGTTCATGTCTCTTTCACCCAAAAAAGAGACTGATGAAATAAAATACAGAAGTAAAGAAATACAGATAAAACAACAAAATTTCAAACATATATCCCACTCCTCCAACCAAATATTCCTTTTTTTCTCAGTGAAACTCCTGAAAACATGTTTACTTTTGCTCCTTGACTTATAATTGGCCTTCACTCTTCTATCTGCAACCATGCAACTGTCAGTTCTAGGAAATAGCTCCTCTATAATCTGTAAAGGTCTAAATTTTCTGTTAACTTGGGCCAGCAGGTTACATAGAGGTTAAGGCACTAGACCTCACATGGCTGGCTGTGTGATTTGAATCCCACACTTGGTAACTTGAAAATCATGCCAGGCACATCTGTGTGCCCAAAATCCCAAGAGGAGACTAGAGGAGAATGGATAACAGCATGGCCATCTCACCTGGGGACTGATTTCTTACCTCTCCGCCCTGACGAGTGCACACACCCTATAGCAAAAACTAAAGAAAAAAAATTCCTTTTACCAAATTCTAGAAATTTAAAAAGTAAAAAAAAAAATATTACAAATAATATTGTACTGAACATCTTTATGAGTTGAAATTTCTTCATTTTTAGGCTTATTTCTTTACACTAGAGTCCTAGAACTAGAAAATACTGAATGCTTTCTATCTCCATCAGAAAGTAATAAAATATTTATTATATGCCTATGAGTCAGGTGCAGCTGGTTCAAAAACTAACACAAAAATATCAAAATTTTATAGATAAATAATAAATTACTTTCATCTTCATACAGAAATAATTACTTATTCTGGAAAACATATAAGGCAACTTAAAGTTGCTTAAAATATGCAATAAAATAGATGTATCAAAAAATGAGAGGGCATCTAAAATGGAACTAGAAATAAGACCAGCATAAACAATGTGTACTATGAAGTATTATACACTTAAAAACAGTAGGTCAAAGATTAGGTTATGACTAAACTATGCTAATCCTATTTTACACTAAATAATTTAGGAGTTGCTACAGAATGACCATCTTCCTGCTCTCCTGCTTTAAAAATGCTTTATGAGGGGGCCAGCAGGTGACACAATGATTAAGGTGTTGGACTCTCACATGGCTGAGTGTGGTTTGAGTCCCAGAACTGGCAACTTGCTTTCTCACTTTCTCTCTCTCTCTGGTAAGTACACATACCCTATAGCAAATTAAAATAATAAAATTAAATAAGCATTTATTTAATAAATAAAAAATGGGAGGCCAGCAGGTAGTATAGTGGTTAAGGACTCCTACACGCCGACTGTGGTTCAAGTCCTGGACCAAGTGATTTGTGTGAAGTGAAACTTACACTAGGCATGTATGAGTGTATGCCCAAAGTCCTGAGAAAAGAATAGAGGAGAAGAGACTGTGGCATGGTCAACCCCCTTGGTGGGTGATTTCCTCAGTTTTTCTCTCTCCATCTCTTTGCTGAATGCAAATGCACTATAGCAAAAATCTCTCTCTCTAAAAAAAAAAAAAGAAATGCTTTATGAATGGCTGGAGTTCTGACTATTACTCAAGAAATCCAATTCTTTGGTAGAGGCTCATAACACATGGTACTGATATACAGAATGAGAGTTGTTGGTAGCTCTCATGTTCCTCCTCTTTAGGCGCAAGCAAAAGAACAAGGAGAAAACAGCTCTCAATAGCTCTTGAATTGTGACTCCTACTGTTGTAGGCATGTTGGTAGGAGGAAAAGCAAAGGTCTCTTGAAAATGGCACGCCAATCTCCCTCTGGAAACAGACTGGAAACAGTGTCTGAGTCCTTATAAGTACATGAACCCAAAGGTCAGCCTCTGGAAATATTTTGCAGCTATGAGCATATTTAGAAATTGGTACTCACAGAAACATGTCTTAGTCATAAAAGGCATAATTCCTTAAAATTACACTTAGAAATTAGGAAATCTTTATATATCACATTTAAAAGAATATTATTCACTTTTGGTGAACTACCAATGTTTTTAAAAAGTGGGCAACAGGTACAGCAGTAGTCAGAAAGTAAAACTGTTTCTGATACAAACTCAGAGGAAAGGGCCATGTAACTTATCTTTTGTCAGGATGGATTAAAACTAGCATTCTGCCCATCTTCAGTTATTCATTCAATTGTTTATTATTGCTCTACCTACGAATGCATCTATGACAAGTTTATTAAGCATTTCTTACGTGACCAGCAGTTCCAGAGTGAAGAGAAAACAACACAATGTCTTTACGGATGATATGCACAGTCTAGTGCAAGAAACGTGGTGCTGATAAGTACATCATTAAAAAAATATACTAGTAGGTACTAACATATAGGAATGTGCAGATTGCCAAGGGAACAGAGAGGAAAGAATGGGCCAATGATAAGCAAAGACCAGTTTAGGAAAAACAGTATTTATAAGCTAACATTTTGCTTCGATCCAAATTAAAACTTGAGAAACATGGGAAAATAGCTTATAGAAAAATCTAAATGAGAAAGGTGGCAATTTTAATTTCTAAATTTGTTTCTAAGAGATTTGGGTGTATTTGAAAAAAAGACAATGTAAAGGTAGCTTTTAAATCTTTTACCAATGACATTTCTGTAGCATTTTAGAAACAGAGGTGTGTTTATATGCAGTGTCATTTTATCCTTCAAAATATATCCCCTTTGGGTATTACTTATTATATAAGTTAAAGATGAAGTACTAAGAGTTCAGAGGAATGAAGTGCACAGCTAGGAAAACTGGCCAAGCTAGAGATATCTACCTTACTTCCAAATTCCGTTTTTGTCTCAACTAAAGTAAAATTCTTTTTAAAAGATTTGCAGAGTAATACTGAATTTTTAATTGTAAGTAAAATCTACTCTAACCCCTACATGTATGTAGTCTGATGAGAGAATGCCTTCAAATAAAATCCTTGCCAAAATGTTCACACAATTATCAAATTAAATGGATATTTTATGAAAAAGATTATGCTAAATTTGACTATAGCAGTCAGAGGTAGAAAAGTGAAAGCCACAATACACAGAAGTTGATCAAGAAATGCAGGAAATATGACAAAAGATCATATGATTAAGAATTACTCTGGGTTGAATTTATATTTTGAAAATGCACATAACTGATTTTTCTATCATACTTACATCTCTGTGCCCACTACTAGCAGAATCATGGAGTGGAGTGTCATCATCTAATCCTTGTGTGTTAACATCTGCTCCAGCTGCTATGAGTATCTTAGCAATATCATAATATCCAACATTGCAAGCTTCATGCAGTGGCGTCCAACCTAAAGTCAGAATGTTAATTTAACACGTTTCACTTGCACTAATTCAAGATATATGCTTTTCATACACATACCTATGTCTGACATACCAATTCTAAATAGCACATGGTGCAAAAGGAAAAAAGAGTGATGAAGAAGCTACTGAAAATAAGTATCTTAGAACATTAATTTTACAAAAGTTTCTTTCAAGATAGTGTACTTCTATTGAGGCTAAATTACCTGATGCAAGTATTAATTATTTAAGTTTAACTAATACATATAAATGTAGTATAACTTATAATAATTATCTGAACTACGGGAAAAGAAAAAGGAAGCAAAATATTATTAAGATTTTATACAGACATTCAGTAAACAAAAATCCCTATGCTTAATAAATTTATTTATTTATTTTTAGATTGCTACACGGTGTGGGCACTTGTTGGAGACAGAGACTGAAAGGGAAAGTGAGAAATCACCCCCCAGGAGGGATGGCCACATTGCAATCCCTTCTTCTTCATTCTCCTCTCAAGATTTTGGGCACAGAGACAAATGTGCCCAGCATGTCCTCCAAGTCACCAGGCAGGAACTCAAATATACAGTCAATCATGCAGGATCCAGCTACCCCAACCCCCTGGCTGGCATTCTAATGGCTTTTTTCCTGTTAAGTTGATACAATATTTTCTGGGCTTAATACTTAATATTCTTTTTATTTTTTTCCCCATGAGCAAGAAAGTGAGAGAAAGTGAGAGAAGTACTCCCAAAAGGGTCCCGACATTGTGATGTAACTCTAGCTTTCAGCTAGTCCTAACCACAGGTAAGTTGTGCCTGGCACACTCTGGGAGGTCGATGGACATGAAATAGGAGCTTTCCCAAGTGGGATTGCCTTGCAGAGCATGTTTTATCTCTGCATGTAACTATCTTGTCCCTTGGGATTAATACGTAAACTAAAAGAAACTTCTCATTTTAATTACTTTTGTAATAAAAAGTTACATGCTCATAAAACATTAAAAAGTAGAAGAAAAAAAGCACTGCCCATAATCCTACCACCCATATAAAATTAAAGAATCCAGTATACCTACTAGGTTTCCATACTCCCCATGCCAAAATAGACGAACTTTGGATGGGTAATGTTTAAGTTGCTTACTCTATTTGCTAAAGTGAAAAAATAATTCTCCAAGTTGTCATCACACTTTTCTATAATACAATATTGTAGTGACTGAATGTACCATGATTAATTTAAATAAACTTCTACTACTGGGGATTTTGATGACTGCTAGTTTTAAAATATCAGAAACAATGCTACAACAATGTATCCTTACAATGAATGCTCATGTACATCCATCATTAAATATTTAAAATAAATCCAAAGAAGTGAAATTGTCAGATATAATAGAAAGTGTATTTTTAAATTTTCTGATAATGTCAAATTTTCCCCTAGAATGTACATTTTAAGTCTCATTCTTTAAA